GACCACCCGCTGTGACCCCCCACCCCCCAGGGCAGCACCTGCTCCCCTTCAGGAGCCCGGATCCCCCCGCCCCCGGCAGAGCCTGGACCCCCGCTACCTTGCAGCCCCTCGGTGACATGCACCAGCAGCTCCTCCTCGCCGGGGGGTGAGTCCTCCTCGAAGTCCTCCAGGCGCCGGTACTCCCCCTGAGCCGCCATCGCCCACCACGCCGCCTACCAGGGACCCCCATCGGCACCCGGCGCCGCGACCCAGGGACCCCCAGCTGGCACAGACCCTGGCAGCGGGGATGCCTGGGGGGACGGAGCCCCCCACCCAGCCCCATGGGCCGTGGGGCAGCCAGAGCCCAGTTGCGGAGCACAGAGATGCCGTGCCGAGCCAGGGCGAGCCAAGCTGAGCTGTCTGCCCCGCGGCCGGGAGCCGGAAATGCCGGCAAGGTCACGCAGCACCGCCCGCGTGCCCCGAATTCGGGTGGCCTGAGCTGGCCTCTCGCACCGCAGCCACGGCCACGGCCCCGGGCACAGCCACAACACGCAGGCCCGCCGGATGGATCACCGCCAGTGCCCGGCCATGTCCTCCCCACCATGGGGGCCATGTCCTCCCTCCCTAGGGAAAGACTGCTGCCCGGCCCCCCGAGACCCCCGCTTCACCCCACGTCTGCCCCTTGGGCCATGCTGTGCTGGGCCCCCACAGTCCAAGTGGAGTGGACCCCCATCCCCATGGAGCCCTCTCCCCACAGACCCCCACCTCACAGAGCCCACCCTGGGGCCAGAGCCATGGCAGAGCCGGGCAGCAGCCGGGGTGTGGGACTGAGCTCAGGGCCAGCTCTTGAGCCCCGGTGGCCTTGTAATTCCCTGGGGACCCCCAACCATGAGGAAGGACAGGACCCCAACCCCTTTGGGCAGGGCAGTACCCCTGGGCCCTGGGGCAGGAGGGACCCCAAACCCTTGGGACAGGAGCCCCAGCCCCTTGGGGCAACACAGGACCCCAGTTCCGCTGGAGGACTTTGGGACCCCCAACCCCCTGGAGCAGGATGGGATGCCCACCCCCCCGGGGAAGGGCAGCACCCCCGGCCCCTGGGGCAGGATGGGACCCTCAGCTCCTTGAGGAAGAACATGGCCCCCCTCCCCTGGGGCCAGGATGGGACCCCTGAACTCTCAGGACAGGACCCCCCTCCCCTCGTGGCAGGACAGGACCCTCAGCCCCTTGGGGAAGGACAGGACCCCCAGCACCCAGGGCAAGACAGGACTCCCACTGCCCTGGGGAAAAACAGGACCCCCCTCTCCTCAGGGCAGGACAGGACCCCCACCCCCTGGGGAAGGACAAGAGCCCCCACCCCTCGGCACAGGATGGGACCCCTGAACTCTCAGGACAGGATGGGACCCCCACCCCCTGGGGCAGGATGGGACCCCTGTGTCCGGCCCCCGTTGCCCTCCCCTTACCGCTGCCGGCCGATGCTCCTGCAGCCCCGCACGTCACCAGTGTCCCCTCCTGTGGCCGGTGCCAGTGCCCGGCCAGGCCGGCGGCCGCAGGTGGGTGATGCTGTCCAGCCCCACCCTGCCACGGCACTGCCGGGGCCTGACTCACGGCACCGGGGCCGGTGCGGCGAGGCCGCAGGCACGAGGGAGCCCCGGGGCAGTGATTCAGCAGGAGGGATGTGGCCGTGGCCGGCAGAGACCCAGGCACTGCTGGACACACCGTCCCTGTACTGACCCCCGGCCTTGTGCAACTCCCCGTTGGGGACAGAGCTACCGTGTCCCCCAGGATCGGGTGTCCCAGCTGGTGACGCCGGCATGGCCCTTCCCCCACGTGCCCCGCACCGGGCGGCCAAAAATACCCACAGGGCTGGGGCGCCCGAAAATAGCCCGGGTGGTGTAAACAGCTGGGGGGGCCAAGGGCCGGCGAGGGGACCCCAGTGCCTGGGCAGGGCAGCCCAGGACCCCCCCTCGGCACGCTGCTCCCCTGCACGCCCTGGCACGGCCCCAGGGGACACGGGCACCCGTGGGGACAGACGGGCCCCACAGGGACACACACCCCTGGCAAGGACCCCGGTGACCCCTGCTAGGACACGCACGCCCCAGTGTCCCCGCGGTGCCACTTGTGTCACACAGGGACCCCCATGTCCCCGCAGGGATACACGCACCTCGGTGGGGACGCAGGCACCCACATAGGAACACAGGCAGTATGACAGCCCCACGGTGACACACACCCCGAGGTGACACGTACCCCAATAGCACCGCGGTGACACACACGCCGCAGGGACGCTGCCACCCCGTGGGGACACTCCCGTGGGGACAGCCCCGCACACAGACAGCGGCACCTTGATGGCCCCACGGAGTCACCCGGACCTCATGGGCCCACTCGCACCCCGTGGGGACGTGGGCACCCCGATGACCCCGTGGGGACACATCTGCCACGTGCGGGCACCGGCAGCCGGTGTCCCGGTGTCCCCCCAGCCGGGCCAGGTGCGGGTGTGGGGGGGTCCCGGGTGCAGCAACCCCGCAGCGGCCAGGCCTGGGGACCCCGGGGAGGAGCGGGGTGACCCCGCACCGGGGGGCTCCGGGGCATCGCGACTGCCCGGGGCCGCGCTGAGGCGGCCGCTCCCGTGTCCCCGTCCCCCGGTGACA